ATAAATAAGCCAAACAAAATTTTAAAATTTATTAAAAGGAAATGATTATAGTACTTCAAGCTAGGTTAGTTGTTATACAAAATTAAAATATTGATATATTTTTATAAATTCTTACATTGACTTTTTAGAGCAGTCTCTTAATTTTTTTACATGCAGTTTTTTTTTTAGTAATAATATTTTATCAAAATATTCTAAAAATGAATGCGATTATTGGTAATAAGGCACCTAAAATTTGAAGCTGTGTACAAAGAACTTCATAAAAAGCATCTGAGAAACTTGCTGTAATTTGTAAAGCAAAAAAGATTAGTGTTTTAGCTGCATTACGTTATTTTGATCTTGACCAATCAATGGTTTCATAATGAATATCTAATGAAAAAAAAACTTAAAAATGCTGACTCAAGTAATAGATGTGTTGGTGCTGGAAGAGCTTCATTTTATCTGGCTGCTGAAGAAGAACTTATTAAGTGGTTAAATAAACTTCATTTAGCTGGAATTGCTGTAATTGCAGGTTCTATTAAAATACACATGATTAATATTCTTTCAACAACTTGTGCAACTAAATATCCAAATGCAGTTGAATAATTTCATGCTTCCAAATCTTGGTTTTATGAGTTTTTAAAAAGGCATCAACTTTCTTTTTGTCGTCGTACTAAAATTAGCCAAACATTACCAGATGATCTTACCAATAAAGTTATTGAATTTTATAAATTTGTAATTCAATCTTGATTAAAATACTAATATGATCTTTCTCAAATTATTAATTTGAATAAAACACCTGTATTTTTTGATATGGCAGGCAATTATATAATAATACAAAGGGTGCTAAAACTGTACAAATAAGATCAACTGGTAATGATAAAAACTGGTTTACATGTGTCTTAGCAATTACTGCAAGTAGTAATAAACTACTCTGATAGTTATCTTTAAAGATGTACAAACCCCTTTTGATTTACCACCTGAAATTATTGTATATATGAATGAAAAGGGTTGGATGAATAAGAATTTAATGTGTGAATAGATTGATCAAGTTTGAAACAAACGAATTAAAATATCAATTACAAAAAAGCCATTGTCTTTGCTCATAATGGACTCATTTGAAGGACATTTAACAGAATTAGTACAAAAAAAATATTAAATGAATAATATTTACAAAGCTATTATTCCAGGAGAATTAACATCGATTGTACAACCGTTAGATGTGTATATTAACAAACTATTTAAGGATAGGTTAAGAGAAAATGGGATTATGGATATACAATGGTCAATTTTAATTAACTAAATAGGAAAATTTAAAGAAACCATCATATGATTTAATTTGTCAATAGATTTTAGAAGCATGGGCTGATATTCCTATAGAAATGATTACTAGATTATTTAAAAAATGTGGTATTTCTAATGAATTAGATGGTACTGAAGATAATTTGTTATATGACTTGGATAAAGAAAATTATAATAGTGAAGATTCATTAGAAATAGTTAATGAAGATAGTTTTTCTGCAGAAGAATTAGATTTAGAAGATTATATTTGAAAATTAATATTAGCTTTTTAATTAATGAACTTGAATTAAAAATTAATAAAATTTATTATCTTTTGCTTTAGTAATTTTTTAAAAAAAGGTTGCTTACAGTATTTTATTTTGTTTAATAAATATATTTTAAAATGTAAGAGATTGCTTATTTTTAAAGGTTGCTTATTTTATTTTTTTAATAAATCTATTGTAAAATATAAGGGTTGCTTATTTTTAGAGGTTGCTTATTTTCGGACATATATGGTATTTAAAAATTTTAATATAATCAATAATATAAATTTATAAATATTATACTCTTGCATAAGTATATTTATGCCTATTTATATATAAATATGCATGAATATGCAAATGTGCATACAAATATGCAAGAAATACATAAAAATGCAATATTTATAAATTTATATTATTAACTATATTAAAATTTAAAATTGTCAAATGACTAACTCTGAGGACTCCATAACTAACATTTTCCAAAAAGGGTATATTTAGCTGATAAGTGTCACTTCCCTTAACAAATATTTATTTATCAAATAAATATGCAAAAAAAATACAATATGTTAATAATTACAATTTAAACTTGAATGTTCAAAAAAAAGGTTGCTCTTTTTTGATTGTTTCGAAAATAACCTTATGAAGCATAATTACTACGTCTCATAGGATCATTGTTAAAAAATCTTCTTAATTTTTACACACATTACTTAATTGCATGAACATTTAGACTTACATTTTTTTTAATCTCTTGGCTGCATTCACAATTTCTTTTAACAAAGTCCACCCTCTTTTATCACCAACTTCACCAGGCCTATAAACCAATACGGCATTCATGACATAACCAAATGAGATTCCTAGTTCTTGATTCCATAAGAATAAGCTTCCACCCACTATTTGAAAGAATTTAGCATCCACCATCTGAAAGAATTTAGCACCCATTATCTAAAAGAATTTAGTATTC